CAGGCGGATCTGGAACTGACGAGCTGCAGGGCACATGGTTAAAAAATTAAATTAAAAAGTGGGACCATGCAAAGGCGTGGTGGTGCAACCAAAATTGATTTACTCCTCGTGTTTGGCGCCTCGTTTGAACGGGGATGACTCGCTGGCAATTTAATAAACGCGACTGAACGAATACGGAAAGAATTCTGATCGAGATTGCAAAGCGGTGGTGCTTTCACAGAGCGTCTTTCCATGTCTGGACGGACATCGATCTCTTCCGGTTCTCATTAAGGAAAATGCTCCTTTGGTACGTTGCACAGAGCAGGTTGACCGTCTCTCCGCATCTTTATGTTGGCGGGATGAGCAACACGTCACGCTACCCGTACTTGTTCGCATCCTGTGACTGAACAGAACGGGAGCTCGTCCGCAAATCTCTAAGTTACCGTTTATGACCGCGGAACAAAAAAAGGGCCATGGACAGGACTGCACCACGGATCTTCCCAGCGTAGCGCCACGGACATGGAACACGGGTAAACAGGCACACTTCTTTATTTATATAAATACGCTCACTGGCTCACAGACCATATCCTAGCCCTTCCATCTCTGCTCACGCTCACCATCATCCCATCGACCACATCAATACTGAGCACAGGCTCGCTATGTCCGACCAGCCTCTCCACGTTCTTCATCTCCTTATCAAAAAACCGGACCATGTTGTCCGTTCCGCACGCAATCACGAACGCATCCAGGAAACACACGTTCAGCACCGCGTCACCAAAACAGACGGGTCCAAAGACGACACTCAGCGTATCGCTCTGTATCTTAAGCAGGAATATCGTTTCGTCTGCACTACCGGTCACCAGGTAGCTGTTGCACGATGACACGGCGATTGAAAGGATGCTCTTGGTGTGTGTGGGGTGATCACGCACGTTACCTGTGCTCATATCGTAGCACAGCACCTTTCCGAGATGCGTGCCCGTGAACACGAGCGCGTTGCTTTTGTACGTGCACGCTGCCATGCACATTTGGCGATCCTCTGTGTTGGACACGCCGTGCACAGCGTAGTTATCGTGCACACGCTTTACGAACGTGTTACCTATCGTGTACAGCACGCCGTCGTGCTGCAACATCGCCGTGAGCTTCTCCGGGCCGCTCGCGCTCTCAAGCTTGAACGTTTCCAGGTTCCACTTTCTCAGCACGTTGTCGCTTTCGTACGTGTACAGGGACGTGTCGCCGATCGCCATGAACGTGTTGAACTCCTTAGATGCGCCGCCCGGTGAGTCGAACGGCACCCGCTCGATGCTTTGCGATGTGTTGTTCAGCTGGTGCAGTGTCTTATCCTCCAAGCTGACCACATATGAGCACGGATCAGTCGTAAAACCCAAAAATCGCAGATTTCCTGATAAGACAACCGAAGCAGGCACGCACCCCAGATTAAACGAGTAGAACAGCGACACATTGATGAGCGGCACGCCCTCAACAATCCAGTCATGCCCCATCTTCAAACACGGCATCTCCTTCTTTTCGATGCCCCTGTCTCTGTCCGCCATTTTGTCTGTCATTTGCTTTTCCATCGGCACCCTGCGTAGCGATGCGATGTAATTCTGCATATCGCGTATGCAATGTCGACTCTTATCAAGGTCCATGAGGATGTGCTCCTGCTTGTCCTCAATTTCCCTGAGCCGTTTTTTGAGCTGCGTGTTTTCTGTGAGAATGCTTTCATACTCTTTTTTCATGAGGTCGTGCAATTCAAAGAATCTGCGGTACATGGGGGGTTGTTTGTTTTGTGGTTGTGGTAAGGGCGGAAATAAATGGCAAAAATTTTGTGTGCTGGAATGGTTATGGTAAATTTGGGCGGTGGCGGACTAACATATACGGAGAAATGGCGATATGTGCTATTTGTTTGGAACGTTTGGCAATTGCAGGGGAGCATTTTTGGTGTTGGTCACACGTAGGATCGTGTCAGAAATTTTATCGGTAACGACCAGCGATACGAAACGCTAATCGGCTGTATTTGGTGATTGCTGCGGTGCATGGAGCACACACGCACCCAACCATCCAGCAAGTATCGAATGAGCAGAGTGATAGGCACGGTTTTGATAGACCGTTGTGATGGAAATGATCATTTTATGATTTGATGTGATTGATAGCTGCAACACCGTGCAGTAAGTATCGCGTATTTAATGATTGTGCGGTGATTTATAGAGCAAGACAGCAGATCATTGGTGGTTGCTGCAGCGAACTAAAATATTTTATCGATTAAACAGAAACAGCTGTAAAACGGGAATGTGTTGTGCTCTAAAAGATGATTAAAGTGAGATTGGCGGGATGAAACGGGAAATATGCACATTTTATGGTGGATAGAAAAGTAAAATGGGAAACTCCAAATTCTTTTTAATTACCGTGTTCAAATGGGGTGCTGGCCGATCAGTGTGTTACGCAGGGTGGAACGATTAAGAAGAAACACCTCACTGTCCATCGAATGTATGCGATGGTGCTGTCTTTTTACACTGCGCTCGATAGCAATCATGGCAGACGCGCAGCAAATTGCCAAATGCAAATTTTTTAGTAATATTAAAAACACGAAATATTCGTATTTTTACCTTGAGTATGGCAGCTGGTAAATAAATCTACTGCTCACGTAGTTCTCGCATTACCTGTGGTGCAATTATGATAGTTGTGCCACTGACTGTGCCGGTAATAGCTGCTTTCCATCCAAAGTGCGGTGTGAGTGATGAGCAGAGGATGAATACGGTAATTAATTCCTTATTTTGCTGAGATTTTTATTGTATTTTCTGAGTGCCTGTACCAAAAGGAGATGAGGTAAAAAAGGAAATTATTTTTTAGACTGATAAAATTTTTGTGCACGTACTTATTGCTCTATGTTGAACCATAGGTGTGTTTGAAAGGTTTTCTAACCATTTTATTGCTGCATATCGATGATTTGCACCAAACGGTTTGGTTACGATCTCTCTGGCGGGCTTGTGCGCTAATGAAATGGCGGTCAAGCACACGTTATAGTGTAGTAATGCGAATAAGAGGGCGTATTAACGGCGTATACCCGCTATTTTACTGTGTAGTGGCCGATAAATACGAATTTGGTGTGATACCATGTATGAAATGGCGTGTATTGTGGGAAGAAAGAATATTTTAATGGTAAATTTTTTAGTTTTAATTAACTTAATGTAAACGTAAAACTGAACTGGTAAATTTTGAGTATGGCAGATGTCAAATGAATTATATTCGGTGAAAATTATACTGTTCGCAGTAATTGAACAGTACGTGACACGGCTACGCTAACTTACCGGTCATCAATATACATTTCTTTTGGCGTGGCAGAATTTAAAAACAGCCAATTTTTGTAACTAATGAAACGATGCTATCAATTTACCTGTTCTGTTCTTCATTGAACGTACCAAACGATTGTCTGAATGTCTACGTTGCTACTCGCTCTGTGCTGTTGTTGTGTAGGACACGCGGTGTTTCACCGTATCGATACGAACAGATACCGCAAAAGATACAGAACACTCAAAAATGACATGAGCAATTCTGAAATGTGCCTGTGATATCGTTCTATCTGTTCGTTACGGGATTTACATGCAACAAAGAAAATGTGCACATTGTTCGGCGCATCGCTCTTTTCGTACTTGCAACTCCTATCACCGCAGAGCAGCTGTTAGATGTGCTCCATGTTTTAGTTATCTGCACTGTTAACCAAGAGCAACATTCGTGGAGAGGTAGCTTTTACACCATTGTAGACACAAAAGGTAGTGCACGATAGCACAGCACCGAACTACGCGCAGTTGATCCTTAACCTGACTCCTTGCATTGCATTTTACGTATAGGACATGAAAAGCAGTTTATCCAGAAATGAACAGCACTATGAAACATCTGCGCCATGTGCAAATATTTAGCTCTACTTTATCAGCTATTCGTTCGGCCGATCACTGCTCAATCATTGCATCTATCCCATCACTCCAAATCTGGTTTTGCTTCCAATCGCAAGCACTTTCCCCGTTTAGACAATCAAATATGCGAAGGAAGGTGAAATTAAAGATTACCTGCATAGCAAGCAAGTTACGGTACACTTTATACGATTGATAGCACTGTGTTTAACCGCACGACAACCGGTTTATGTGTTGGCATATCGTAATTACAAGCGTTTTCATCTCTGTCAATTTCTACGTACCAGAGTAAACCGCTTTTCACGTCCTTGCGATTAATTTAGTGACCAATACTCACAGATAATTCGTAAAACTTGGAAATTAAAAAATTTTGGTTGTGAAAGAGAAATACTGCACTGGTGGAAATAGAACGGCGAAAGCTGTGTATGAACAAGGAAGGGACTTGTGGTGGTGCACAGCATGGAAGTACAGGATGTTAATGCATTTTTTACGGAAGAATGTGGCGAAGTGCTGTGTGGAACGTTAGCAGAAAACGGAAAAAAATATTTAGCGGATGGTTGTAAAAGAGGTAAATTCAAACAATAAGTAGTGAATGCGGGATGAAATGGCGTGGGATGCTATCAATAACAATACATCGTTGCTGTAATTAATAGCGATGTAGGTACGATTATTGGTAAAAATTGTAAATTTGTTTCCTAATACCACTCCAAATCGCGTGAGTAGTAAAGTGCGATAGCAGGAAGCATGCGGATAGCACTTTTTCTATTAGTGAACCATCATAAATAATATAATTGAGCGTAGCATACTTCATAAATCATCTTTTAAAGTTATATTTGTGCTCAGCCTTACATTCAAAGCAATTTAATCCTTATGATATGTGCTACGCTTATATCATCGCACTAGCACCATTAATATACATCGTAAATGCGTTGCTCGTTCTTTGTAGCAGCGGAAAAACATTTTCAACATGTTAGTTGAATACCACTGAAGAAGATACGCGAAGAGTAAATCGCATCGCATTCTACACCACCTCAATAACCTTCTCAACAAATGTTTTATTACGACTAGGTTCAGGAACATGTGCTAATAGCTGCACGTCCTAACGCAATGACCAATACGTCCGTATGTACACGTTAAGGCTATGTATTTCCGCAATTTACATTTATTCAACTTTCCATCTTTGCCCGTCGTTCTGTAAAAATTCGTTTGAAGCGATTTACTGCCTAAAATGACGTGAGAAACAGTCACTTTTACTTTACCGTATTTATAACGAGTATTGGATGAAATAGAACTTGTTGTGAAAAAAATGAGAATAATTGTGGTACAGAGGGCAACATATGGTATGATTGAAGAACGATTCATAAAAAGTGAATGGTGGGTACTAAAAAGCTGTGCATCGAACAAAGTAAAGAACTGCACGATTTTGATGAGTGCTCCACACCAGCAGTATATAGCGTGTTAAAATGGCGATAAAATCCCCACATGCAACTGTGCTCCTAACACGGCAGATAAGGACGATAAAACGATCTCGCCAAAAATACAACATGGTTGGCAGATATAATTTATTAAATGTACAAGCACATTCTCACTTATGATCCAATCGATTATACAAATACAAACAGAACTTCTGCAGCTTCCCCAATTCCTCCACAACTTCGTTAATACTGTATCTCTTGCAATTACCATTGCCCAACACATACGATATGAGCTGACTGTCATCCAGGAGATACACACTCTCATCTTTGTACTTCTTGCCTACCACACTGTCACATTCGCACAGTATGAATGCGTATGGCCGCTCATTATGACACTCTTTATCTTTAAATTTCACGAAGGAAGACACGTTTGTGAGTGTAAGTGTGCTTGCCGTGTAGTCGGTGAGAGAAAAGCTGTCCGCTATGATTGTTTTGCAGTGTGTACATTGGAGGATGAAGGGGTACTGAAGGGTGTCGTCGCTTTCCATGGGGTACGAAAAATAGAAGGGCACATAAAAGAAAGCTAGGGAACGAAATTCTGAAGAGCGGCAGTAATGGTTTGACGAGGTAAAAGTGCAAATGAACAAATTATATGAATTTATGGCGCTATTGTTGTTAGGAAATAGAGAGATAACCGTAATTGTGCCAAAAGAATTGTTTTTTCCTTTGCATCATCACTGCGTTTACAAATGGCTAATCCATCACTTCATCGTCTAGAGGGGTTAAGAAATCATTTACAAAATCAAAATGTGTTTTGAATATGTCTTTTTGATTTGCTGGTCCAGTAAATGTCTGGTACCTCTACCTAAAAAGACCGTACAAAACATATACGTTTAATTATCACATCGTTTTAGTTATTAAGTGGCAAAGCACTGCTTTTTGACCGAGAATTTGTTTTTAGGAACTGCAAAACCAAGAAAAGCAGTTATTCTGGCGGCGAAATTGAGGCATAAATCCTTCTTGAGGCATGAACCGATAGAAACTGCCAAGAAATCTTTAGATCGCTACATCAAAGAGGTATGTTTACAGGAAGTATATTCATAGAATAAGAAGCGCAACCTGTTGGTGACAGGGTGTGATGATATCTATGGAAGGTGTGAAGCTTTTGTCATCGCAAGATGACACGCTGCATATCCTAAAATGCATCAGCTGCTGATAAACCCTGACATCAAAAATGGAATATGCTATCGTAAATAAACAATCGCACGTCTGTGGTGAGCCTCTCTCAGATGATATGTTCCAAAAAGAAAATCATGCCAAGACTGGCCAGAAAGAACAGAGAAATTCAAACAAATAAAAATAGGTATAAGCAGGCTAGAATTATACCAGGAATAAAGGATGAACAGTAATGTACATAGCTGCAAATGTTTGCTCAGTTTTTAAATAAAAATATCGCAAGAAGAAAGATATTAAAAAAGTTAAAATGATCCTTCGCTCTGCATTCTGATTATACCTCCAGAGAACAGTTGAGATTTGCCTGTGCCCTTTTCTCGCATGCAAATTTTTGTGTCGCAATATTCTATTTCCTTCAACTCTGGCCACAACCGATTTGGACCATTTTTTCTCTACCAATCACCTCATAATATCCTGACTAGCATGTAATTACCGTTTTATTCCCTTCTGTACTGAGAACAACCACTCTACCAATCACCTCACTAAAATAGCATGCTGTGGGCGACTAAATTTTTCGCTGGTTTTGACCTGTATGCCAATTCGTGATCTGTTGTTCAATTCTGTGGTAAACAAACAAGTTATAGTAATAGGCGTTAAAGACTTAATCGTTTTATCAGTGGATAAACACAATGCCTTGCTCTAAAAGAAAATTGTGCAGATCGGTATTGACTGCGGTGGCTTCGTCAATAATGCTTTTATCAGAATCATTTTTAATGACTGGCTCGTTGAATCTTACGTTGGTATTTTCTGGGACCTTTTTCGGGTCTACGATTGTATCAAGCATCAGATGTAGCTCAGACATCGTGTAAGTTGGACTGTTCTTGCTTCTGTAGCTTAAGATTGTAATGAAAGATGATAATAACGCGATCTTTATCCAATGCATTTGCTGTGGATACTTTCCACATTGAGGGCGTGGTTAGAACACTTTGATGCTTAAACCCTCTTGGTTAGTGTTTTAATCACATACGACAAAATATATCTCATTGCCAAATT